ATGCACGAGAACAGACTTGGCTTATGCAATTGGTACAATTAGTCAGTTTCTTTCTAATCTATGTAAAGAGCATTGGAATGCAGTGAAGTGGATTATAAGATATCTTCATGGCACTTCCAACATGCAACTTTGTTTCGGCAATGAGAAATATGTTCTTGTTGGATATATAGATTCAGACATGGCCGGAGATATTGACTCTAGGAGATTTACTTCAGGTTACTTGATCACTTATGTAGGGGGATCTGTGGCATGGTAATCAAGATTGCAAACGTGTATTGTGTTTTCCAAAACCGAATCAAAGTTCATTGCAGTGACCGAAGCGTGCAAGGAGATGTTTTGGATGAAAACGTTTGTGCATGAACTTGGTTTTACTCAGGAGAGGTATGTCTTGTATTGTGATAACCAGAGCGCGATTCATCTTGGTGAGAACTCAACTTTTCATGTTAGATCAAAGCATATTGATGTGAGGTACCATTGGATACGAGATGTTCTTCAAGCTAAATTGTTAGAGCTTGAGAAGATTCACATTGATGATAATGGTACTGATATGTTGACAAAGGCGCAACCAATAGAGAAGTTTGAAGCATGCTGCTTGATCGTTGACATTGAGTTTTCCCCCACATAGTTAGAGGGGGAGATTTATTAGGTGTGGGTCTCACTATGTAGGAAAATCCACTCACGCGTGTAACCCATTTAAATGGGTGGTTGTCATTTTTTTATTTGTTTTAAAAGTATGCCACATTTAATGCTTCATTTTACTTTGAAAAAACCTATTTTACTTTTGGTTTTTGTGTGTGTTTTGGGCTGTAATTTCAACAAAAAAAATCAGATTTGATTTTTAGAGAGGAAGCTCACGTTGGAGAGAAATAAAGGGGGGAGAAAAATAATTTTTGTGAAGTTTGCACAATAGTGATCAACTCTTCGATCGGAGGTCTATTCGAGGTTCGATTGAGCTAATTTTTTGAGAGAAAGTAGAAAACTTGGTGTTCTTGAGTTTATGGTCGGTTTTTTAATCCGAGTCCTGTAGCAACGAGAATCTCTAATTTTCAGTAGTTGCGTTTTCGGGTGATGTTTTCCATTTTTCTCTCTTTTGCTAAAGATTACTAGTTGTTAGCCAGGTTGGAGTTGAATGCTTGTTGTAAGCTTAATATTGTAGTCTTGTAGCTGAACATTTGATGATAGTGGAGCTTTTATTCAGACTCAAAACCCATTGTTTTTACCCTTGATTTAGAGGGGTTTTCCACGTAAAAAAATCGGTGTCTTTATTTATTTGCATTGTGGTTGCATTGTTGGTTTGTGGTTGATAGTGTTGCTAGAGAACATATAGTGTGTCATTGTGCTTGTCATAATTTTTTATAGGAGTTATTGGGAGAGAAAGAACACCGGTTGTGTTTCCACTTGTGTTTGGTTTCTTCCCAACACAAAGAAGCTTCCCAAAATTTACACACTTAGGCATAGTGATATAACATCAAAACTTACCTTGGCAATCTCACAAACCATTAACAACTCTCAGGTAAATCACCGAGGTGGTTTAATAGGTTCAAGAACCGGGCATTTGTATAGGTAAATATGGGGTTTGATTGTAGTTGCAGGGATGGGCCAACAAATTTTAAAGAGATGAAGTGGTGGAGGAATGGAAGAAAGTGGATGGAAAAATGTCTTTGCAAGTCCATTGTCACATAAGCGGGGGCCATTTCCTCTTAGACTGGTGTGCTAGACTTAGATGCTTCATCTTCCGCAAAGAACTACCTGTGTGTGGTACGTTACTTAATTAATCATTTCTCCATCAACAAATGAATTCACGTATTGAATCTTCTAGAAAGTAAACCCCTTTTTTCATATTAAAAAAAAAACAAAGGTACTGAAGGCGTTTGTCCATGGAGATGGGAATTTGTTGAAAAACTATCCGAAATTACAGGAAGCAATTGGGTCAGGACGATTGTGAGTTCTGCTTTCCACCGTTGAGCTCCATCACATGGCCACAAGAGGTTCCCCGGCAGAATGAAAAACATGGAATGAATTGGCATTTAATTACAAATATGAATGATTGGTGACCCACAATTCATGGTAATTTGTGAACGAAAACAAAAAGATGTGAATACAAAGTCTAATTTCTTAAAACCGTTCCCATTTAAAACACAAGACATCCCATACAGATGTTTCAAGGTCCCAGAAAGCGATGCTGCGCTATACGTTTAAACGTGTATAACATCCGACTCAGTCCCAGTGGTAGCAATTCTTACATCACTTCTTTTGGTTAGAGGCGCCTACGCTTCACTATAATTTTTATCAACCTCCCATTTTTGTATTTATCCTCATCGCATAATCTTATATTAAGAAGGTAAATTTATAAAATTTTAAGTCGAATTAATTTAAAAGAAATTAGAAAATGAAACTAGATTATCAATAAAAATTATGAATATATTTAAAACATATGGGAATTTGAAATTTCAGTGAGAGTCCCCCTTCTATCTATCCCTTGTTTCAAGAAATTTTTATTATATTTGGAAAGATAGTGTGAATAGCGATGCTTATCGAGCCAGTCGATCACTGTTTGAGCAGTGTTGACTCGACTCGAAAACTGTTCAACTCATGCTCAACTCGATTCGTTGTTCGTTTAGCTCGTAAGAATGTCATATTTTTTTTAGTATATGTAAGATAGTAATATTATATTTCTTAATATAAACATAAACCAACAAAACCAAAAGAATAATTAAAATAGTGTGTGAAACAATTTCAAAGTATAAACTTCAAAGCAACAATCCACAAATACACCAAACTAACATATCATAATCAAAGTAATAATCCACTAATATATCAAACTAACATATTACAACCATTCTTGAAGAAAAAAAAGTTTAACAATACATAATTAATCTTAAAAATAAGACAATCAACATCCTAAAAATTATTTAAAAAATTAACGAGCTACTCCCGAACTTGTCGAGTCCAGTTAGATCTTACTCGACTTGATTCGTTAAGGTTTCGAGTGGAACTCGAATTTGAGTTGAGTAAACTTGAGTCGAGTGTTAATCAAGTTTTAACCAAGTCGAACTCGAATTGTTCAACTCAATAACACCCCTAAGCTACTTCAATGGTTTTGGAAGATTTAAACTTCAAGAATTTTTCTAAATCATTTCCATTTTATTTGTATGTTCTAAATCTATAGCTTTACTCCTCTTATTCTCATGTTTGATGCACGAGTCAATTTCATATTTGTTTGAATAGCAAAAGAAGTTGGCGAAAAAATTAGAACCCAAACGAAATGAGAAAATGATGAAAAGTTAGCAAAAGAGCTCCCTTTGTTGGAGAGTATTAAGGTGGATCACTTTTAACTCCAAAATACTACTTGAAATTCATAAATATGAATTGTTTTCCACTTTTATTCTCCATTTTCGCAGCACCAAGAATTTTTAGTTATATAATAATATTTCCGGAAGCAGTAGATGGAGAATAAAATACTGGTATAACACTTGTTATTCGTAAGGATTAGAGGTTCCCTAGTGGCTCAATGATGACTACTATTAGAAAATGGGTAAAAGCGGTAGAAAACTAACAGTCTTGAAAGCGTGAAGGGACTGGCCCAGCATGAAAATCATGGAGGATTGTTGATAAACGAGACATTAGGTTGACCAAATTATATTGAATTGGTGGTCGTAATAATCTTTGAAAATAAGGTTATGATGCAACGTTTAAATGGAATATTAATGGATATTAGGTATTAAATTGCTTTTGAAAACAAGACCTATTTTGCATGGAGAAAGAATTGACTTTGATTTTGCATAACCATATATCTTAATGGTTGTGTCAGTCGGTTATATGTATTACAGACTGAAAACTCTGGTTATGTACTGTGGAACCCAACCATCTGTGGTCCCTGACCCTGAGAAAAAGCGCCCACCAACTCTGTTCTCCCTTAAACAGCTCTTATAAATTTCAATGGTTTCGGCTCGTAGTTGGGTTTTGACCCACCAAGCATCTAGTCTAGTGTTTGCAAAAAGTATCCACCAGACTTAACAACTTATCTTCTACAACTACAAGCTTACAAAAAAACCAAAACCAGTATCCAACGTTTTACATGCAACTGCAACCTTTGTTGATCTCATCTCAGGCATGTTGGTGGGAGTGGGTCAATGTAGCACTTTGGGTTTCTTTTGTCCTTTATTGTCACTGAAAGGTGCAATCATTTTTAGAAGAAAATAAACAAACTCGAAAGCTCATGGTCATCGCTTTTTTGACTGATAAAGAATTGAAAAACCCCTTCCCATTTATGATATTTGAAATCCCAATTTCAAATGAACAATCGCCTATCTGTTTCTTACAACTCCGGGATGATTTCCAACCTACAGCTCTTCAACCATAAAAATCTTTAAACAAAGTTTTCGTTTAGCATCCTTCGAGTACAAGCCTCCGAGTCAAATGTAATGCACAAATATGACATCTGATATGATCACGTGATTAATTATAACAAAACCTAGATTCGACGATCAGATCTATTTAATTTGTTGGTCTAGAAATAAATATAATTAGCCCATGACTGACACTCCTAGTTAAGGATCTCTAAAATAACTTAATCAAGATTGAGAATGAATCGAACCTTCAGCAATCTAGAGAAATACACCAACGATCTGACTACGACTCTTCATCTACTTTAGAATAGGTGAATCGCCAACGGCCAACAAAACCAATTTATTTTCAATAACACCCTTAAATATGTGCTTATGAATCATGGAAGAATACCCTTTGTTAAAAATCGAAAGTAAAAGAACAGTTGGGTTGTTATTTTCCTAGACATTGAGCCAGGAAGTTATGGAAAAGGGAATAATGAAATGAAGTGAACCTTAACATATTCTTGAAAATCAGAGTTGTTCTGTTCCAAGATAGTGAACATAAGAATCGATTCTATTTGGGAGACATATAGAGCTAAACTTGAAAAAATAATGATCATACATGAAAAAAGAAAAGAAAAAGAAGCCATAGTTACCATTTACAAGATGATGTTAAGTTGCAGGCAATGTTCGAGCCCTTATATGTCCAACCATGGAAACCTGAAGAGCCTCCTCTTCATATGCTCTCCTCGTCAACTCCTCCATTCTTGCTTTTTTCTTCACTTTAACAAACATCGCCACTAAAAGCAGCCCCAGAAGGAAAGCCCCCAAAGCAGCTCCCACAGAGCATCCCACCACCAGTTTCCATTTGCTAATCTTCTTCCTCACAGCCGCCGGCGCCGACGACGATGACTGAGGCGACTTCACCACCAAACCAAAATGGCCATGCCTGCTTGCCACACAAACGTTGGGTGATACTTGGTTCTTCAATGTTACTTTTCCATTTCCTTCAAAACTAGCACACAATGGCAAGAATCCTGTGATGTTGGATGCCTTTGTAACGTTGCTGAAATCGATTTTAATAGGTTTGTCAATGGCAAGAATCCCAAGCTCGAAAGGGCTACCAAAACTCAGATCACTGTTGGCATTATAAGCGAGGAGGCCTAATATTGGTGACACCAGCTGGTAACCTGATAGATCGTAGTTAGCATAATATATGGATGACCAATTATAACCCAAGTTTTGTCTAACTACCATCACTCTCTCCGCACAAGGCTGAACAATCACACCACTTCTAAGATGAAATTCCTTAACCTGTGCACCATATCTGTGGAGACTCCCACATCTGAACCTTACCGTATTGACACCGATGCTGGAGAAGTTTTCCGGTAAATTTACAGTGTGTACAATACCAGTTCTCAGGTCCCTGTCAAGGGATTTCACCGTGTAGTCCCTAATGAGAAGATCGAGAAGGCGAGCTGATTTGATCCCTTCGGCTTCAGCTTCCGTTGAGACCAATGATCCCCATGAAAGTGTTAACAACATGAGATAGTAGAGATCAAGTCCCATGAGAGGATCTTAGGGTCTCTTCTGGATGTGACAGGTTATGAGGTTTTTGTACTGTTTGGGGATGTTTAGAGCGATACAGGCTTTGAATTGCAGAGAAAAGGAGGTACTAGTGGGAACATAGAAATAAAAAGTTGTTTTCTTTTGCAATATATGGTGTCGAAGGTAGAATCTGAGAGCATTGACACTTTTGCATGATGTGGGGGCAGGGCAACATACATTTTATCTGCAGTTTCTCCAATGGTTGAATCTAACAACAATGACACTTCTTTTCATTTTTCTAACAATGGGATTCTCCCCATCACCTTAGAGAAATCAAGTCTCCTTTTTTGTACCAGCAACAGGCACACTAAGTATTGTACTTTTAGACAGGCAACCGAATGGTTGGGGTATATACATTAAAAAGTTGCCTTTTTTGCTTTGTGGCATGGGAAAGAAACTTTTGCGGAGCCAGGGTAAGGGGGAGAAATGATTTGGGGGATGGGTTGATGATGATGACCCACCCCTCCTATGAAAAAGGAAGGTGGCGTGCTGAGTGATCGCAATGAGGGCAGATTACCCTATTTAGGGGGACCTTACCACTCCAATTGTGTTTCTAACATGTTCCCCACTCCTAATGAATTCGTTGGTCTCATTGTTAGCTATCCATATGGCATCCCATCACAATTCTTCTTACCCCTCTGATTTGGTCCCCAGACACACATGCATTCATTACTGTCATCGTATGCCTTTTTATTCTTAGGCTAATTTAGGTTTCTAGCCAAGCCCAAGTATAATATCTCGACGTTTGATTGAATAGTTATTTTAGTATTTATTCTTTTTAGAACATTTTAGTTCTCAGTGTTACGTTTTAAGATAAAATGATTTATAGTTGGATGAAAATCGTTAATTGACTTATTATCAACGTTTACCGACGACATGACAACTCTTATGTGTCTAAAATGATGACATAACACAAATCACATGTGCATGAGTTAATATATGGCACATGCCAAGCGAATATAAGTAATGACATAACACATATCACGTATATATAAATAATGTTATGACATGGCATCATTTTAGAAACATGAAATTTATCACATCAACAACAAACATTTATCATTTGTTATTAACTGTTTTCATCCGATTAGAGGACATTTTACTTCAAAATGATATGTTGAGGTGATTAAAGTGGTCATTTTATCAAATATTAGAATGAATTTTTGTATTATGGAAATTAAATAATAGAAAAAGGTTCTATTTCTTTTATCTCGTATCCTGGTGAAATAAATAGTACTATGCATAAAAAAATTGAAGATCATAATCCTTCTTGGTGGGTATTTGCGGTTGGAACGTTTTTCCTTCCAAAATCATGTTTTTCTGACTGTGTGACAAACTGCAAACCGCCAACATTTAAGAAGCTATAGATAATTGCCCATATTTCAGGAATCTTACCCAGATCTTGGTCAAGCAATTAGTTAATGTTACCGAGGATTTTTAGACTTTCTAGAGAAAGCAAACTCCAAGGATAAGGTAAAACAAAAAAACCAAAGTACAATAGAAGAAAAAGGCCAAAACAATTTTGAAGATAATAGTTCTCCAAGCCAATGCCAAAAAAAGAAAAAAAAATATTGTGAAGTGATGGATTAGTGGAAGTTGACATCAGTGGTGTATGTCGATCCTACATTCCAATTTTGAGGTGTAACATTCCAGGCAATGATAGTTTCCTTGGAAGTGTATGAAGTGAGCTTAAAGGAAAGTGATTGGCCTCCAAGAGCTGCAAATGCCTGGTATGTTGCTCCCCAGTTATGGCTCATGCGTATCCACCCTGTTATTTTGCTTCCTTTCACCCACATTTGGGCTATGTCGTCCCCGCCTCCGACATTCATCACGTACACCAACAGCCAGTACCCGTTTCCTTGGAAATAAAATTGGATCCCCCTCGCGTTTCACACAGAACCCTGCAAGCATCGGAATCCATACAAGTTGATCATGATCAATCTGAAAATTTTAAACTATTATGTGATTTTGTCATTCTGAGCATGTTACACACCTTCTATACACGACGGGGACAATGCCGGCTTTCCATTGAGCCATTTTCATGAAAGCGGGCTTGGACATGTCAAAGTGGACTCTAGGAGGGTTGCACCAGCCACCATTGTTTGAGTCTTGGGCCCAATTTGGAGGGAAAATGTTGGTAGCAGTCACTGTGGTATATGGAACACCAGGGTAGCACCAAGGTGACTGAACACACTTTATCTGGTAACATGTCCCGCAAGCAAAGCCATCGTTGAACAATGTTGCACTCACAGCAGCCGAGTCGGTACCATAACCATTGCTAAACAAATCCCGATAACCACAAGCTCCTCCTGTTAGAGAAACAAATCAAAATATGCACTTCATCAATTGTCTATCCTGATGAATATTACAAAGGTTTCAAAACAATGATTAGCTATACGAAGGTGTGTATATGAAGAACATACCCATGGTCCCGGAGGTTTCGTCCCCGTAAAAGGTGGCATGGGCAAGGGACCAAGGGCTTGGATGCAACACGACTGGTAATGGATCAGCAACAGAAAAATTTGCTGATCATTACTAGTGCCATTGAAAAGAACTTGAACCTCCATGAATCAAAAGAAGCCATGGTTTACTCTTTATTCTAAGACAAATAGGAAGAATTCCTGTGGACTAATGTACATGTAATTTTTCTTTATATATAGTTCGGAAACCATCTGCAGAATGATCAAAAACCAAATTTTTGGGTTCGTGACACTCACGAAGATAAGTTCTGTCAAGTCAAACTCAATTTGGAAGTAGTTAGGGTGTAGTGCTTCTTCCTTCATTTCATATTGTTTGTCATGCATGTATATTTTAATGATCTTCAACGTGCGTGCAACTTCTATTTGTGCCCTTTAGTTTTGTTAATTTTGTACACCCGAAAGATGGAGTGAACTTGGTGGTATTGCTCTTCTCTCAACTCAAACAACACTAAAAAGAGAGGAGTGTTTCAAAGCAAATGTTTGCTTGGGATATTTGAAAGTAAATGAAATTGCCCACTATTTATAGGCTAAATAGTGAGGGCAAAATAGTCACTTGCAAAGCACAATTTAATTCTATTAAACATAGAATTAAAAGTCTTTAAAAGACAGTTACAAATTGAGCATTACCAACACTCCACCACTAATGCGAAATAATTCTTTCGTAAAGATGAGAGCAATGAAGTTAAAAAACGATAAGAGCAATAGCCAGATAAGTTGCTTAAGCACTAGTGAACGTATCTTAAACTAGTACATAGTGATAATGAGCAATCTTTTTCTTAGATAAGTGAAACTAGTCTTGAATTTTCTAGATAAGGGTAAACTCATAACACAAAAGTAACCCCTTCATCCATCAAAGTCCTCGATGTGTCTACAAAGAGTATATACAAAAGTGTATATATGTTTAACCTTCTTTCCTCAGGATTCTAATAAGTGTACTAGAAAAATGACCCAACGTTTTTCATAGAAAGTGATTATTCCTTCTCACTTATGTAGGTTATTTCATTCGGTCTATCTCAACGTAAACCACTCAAACTGAGTTATGAAATAATTAAGAGCTTTTACAACAGCTCAACCTCACAATAAGTAAAGTGAATTTCTTCAAGTTCATTTTTAAATGAACCACCCAAACTCTAGGATAAGAAATCATTAAGAATAAATATTCAACCTCATTATTCGGAGAATTCAACATGTCATTTTCACTAGGAACTCCCATTCAATATGTCATTCTCACTAGGAACTTGACGAGCGTCGTTTTTCGTGTCAAATTAATTCCTTCTTCTCAATTAATAAATAAAAGAAATTTAATGTAGTAAAAGAGAAGTAAGGGTCGATCTCACATAGAAGTAAGGGTCGATCTCACAGAGACTAAGGTAGCTTCCTGATTTATTCGTTCTTTATTTAATCTTTGAGCCAAGAAGTGGATGAAGTAGAATTTGAGTAATGGTGAGGATTTATAGATGAAGATAAATAAAATAGAAGAAAGAAAAATAAAAAGATTTCAAAGAAGATTAAAAAAAATTAAAAGAAAATTCAATATGGTAAAATCAACCTTAGGATTTCTTTTTGACTCAATTTTCTTCGGATCATCGAATTATATTTTCCCTTTGAGATTCACGTCGGTTACTTTGTCTACAAGGGCAATCCTCGTGACTTTTCTTTGTATGCGGAATACCCAAGGCAATCTTTGATTCCAGCTTCAGAAATTGATCTGATCAACATCAATTGTCGTAGAACAATAACCGTTTAAGTTCGTGAAGACCTACGCGGATTGTTGTATACCAAATTCATGCACACTGTTCCAACCTTGATTCTATAACAAAAAGTGCACTTTTCAGGCCTTTTAAGAACATTTTTCAAAAGACATTTCCCTGCACAGAAATCATGTAAAATACCTAAATCAACAATAATTATGAGCAAATGAGGAGTATTTAATCATAAAAAAGTAGCACAAAATAAACACTAGTCAAAATTTTGACATGAGTCGTTATTATGTCAAAATAAATAGCCTTAATCTCAATAAAATAAATAATAATAGGTAGAATAGTGAGAGTAAGGGTCGATCTATAGGGATTAGGAGTTTAACGATTTTCTCGCTTTTGATCTTGCTTCAAGCGTGATTTGCAAAAGAAATTAGAGGGGAGATTTTAGAGAGTTGAAGTGAAGTAATAAAAATGATTGAAATAAAATAAAATAGTAAATTAAGAAAATGAAATTCGATTAGTAAAAATCAGCCTTCGGCTAAAGCTTTTGCCTCAATTTTAATCGATAATTGAATAGGATTTTACCTCTGGGCTCATGCCGGTTACAGTCTACAGGGCCCAACCCCTGTAACTTGTTTTTCTATCAAATGAATCGAGAATATAAAATTATTTCAAATCTCAACTCTTTGTGAGTTAATAGCGACAATCGCTTATTAATTTAACACTTTTAAATTCTGGAAAAACCCAATTCATATTCTATCGTCTCAATTGAGAATCTAACCCGATTTCAGTTTCCCTTAGCGGACCATCGCTAAGTGTGTTCACAGAAAGTCGAATGTTCCATAGGTTGATCCTGCCTCTTAACTATTAATCGAAACCAAAATTCGATTCCAACGTGCACTTTTTGAATTAAAATCGCTTTGATTGTAAAAGGATGGTCGATTATCGATCATTGATTTCTGAAAACTGAAAATGTAACCCTTGAGGGTATCAAGTGCTTTTCAATTTTCACGACTTAGAATCGAGTCATTGCTTTAGCCCTTGGCTATAGAAAACTTAGCTAAGCATGGTAGAAACCATACTTAACATTTTGAAAGAAAAATGAAACTTGAAATTAAAATGAAAGGAAATAAAATCTTCTATAAATCTAAAGAAAGAAAGAAACAAGAGAGTATGAAAATGATTGAGTGATCAAGTGATGGGTTGAATTATCCTTTGAGGCTTACCCTCAATAGGGTATTTATAGTACTCAAAAACCCTAAAAATTAATATTCAAAACAAAAGATAATTTCTAAAAATAAAAATAATATAAATTATAATTTGAATTTAAAATTTTGGCTAAGTCTCATTTTCCACACCACTGCTGATTGGATCTTCTAAAAGCTGCTGATTAGGCCTTCTAGAAGTTGTTGACTGGGTGCCATGTCACCTACTACGTCGACTACCATGTCATTACCACGTCAGTTGCCACATCAGCCCCTGATTAGATGTCATGTCTGATGTGTCAATTCCAAAGCACAATTTAATTCTATTAAACATAGAATTAAAAGCCTTTAAAAGACAGTTATAAATTGAGCATTACCAACATTCTATTGGTTGTGTTTTGACAAAATCTAATCCCAAACTCTCAAACGACTATCATATCTCAGTTAATATATTAACATCTAACTCATACCGCCATCAACTGTTTTAACAAAAAAAGGGTGAATTTGAAATATATGAAGAGTCAGGTGACCATTTTGTAACTTTTATTATTTGAGCGACTCAACAAAACAAAATCCTATAATCAAGTGATTATTTTATAATTTTTAATAGTCGGAAGACTCAACAAAGTAACACCATCTAGTCAGATAACCATTTACCCTTTTTTTTTTTGGTCCGAGATAACTAAAAAGAAATTTACTTAAAATAGAGTTAAAAATGGGGATCTGTGATTGTAGATAGATAAGTATAACTTGTATAACTCTCCACTTTTCCTTTTAGGAGTTAATGAAGAGTAGGAAACTTTGTTTGAGTAGATTTATTTTATACAAGTTTTCTTCATAAATAAGAAACTTATTTCTGTAAATAGATACCAGAGACGAGAGTTTTGAAGTAAGTTGATTAAATCCTAAATCGTGTTTAGAAAGCAAGTCTTCTTGTACTCTTTTTTGACATGGTGAATTTTCTCCTCTTATGTTCGTGATTTTTTGTCGAAATGATTTTTCCAATTAGATCTCAATATTCTTTATTTATTTTGTGATTGTTTTACATTTATTATTATCATGCTTACATTATTACAAGTTTTATGAGCTAATGCTCATTCAGAGCAATCCATGTAGAGTATGGTTTTCATTGAATTAAAGACTTTCACAACTCACAACTTTCCTCTCCTCTTCTTGTCAACATGCCTGTTTAGGTATAAATATATTACATGTTTAATTACAAATACAGTGTTCCACATATAACACAACAGATACATGTTTTACAACGCAACACATCAAAATTTCCGCTCTGTGCTGCACACAATTACCCACCAGGATTGAACATATGACACTCTTCACTCCAGCTTTATCAGTCAGTACGTGGCATCTTGATGTGGATCTCTGAAAGTAATTCCTCCTGCAACCGTTACCGTATCTGTTAAAACACCGAAATAACACTTCTCGAGAAAAGAGACTCGTAGTGTACTGTTCGTATCATTTTCATATTTGAAACTATAAGTACAGGCAAGGCTGACCTGCACTGCAACTTCGGAGCACTGGAGACTCAAATTATTAGGTGAGTTATTGATATTGCCAAGTTATAGAAGGAAGGATTCTAGCTATAAGTATGATGTATACCTCCAATCAAGCTTCGCTTCCTTCCGGCAATGTAATCAACCTCGTTTTCGAGTTGTACTCCAATGTGGTTCCACAACTGAAGTGAAAGAAGAGTTGGGAACTTGAAATTTTGCAGCAATGTTATTATGTGAAAGGAAACTCAAAGTTTATGGTTAACTATTTTTGTTCCTCTTGAAGGAAAAAAAATACTTACTTCAAACATTTAAGAATGTTGGTGGTTCCACCGTTCGAAATCGAAAGTATGGTGCCGAAGAAGGAGATATTCTCAGTAGCACAGTTTGGGCAGGGGCCCTAGAAGGAATGTTACAAATTAGTTTCCATGGTTTATAGAACATTATGAGGCTGTTCATGATGGGGAGGGATGAAAAAAAAGAGTTTTTACCTTTAGGATCAGAGAGTCTTTCACGACCACTTTCGTAAGGGATGTAGCTAAATAAACTATCAAGGGCACAGCAGCAAACCAAGTGAAAATAAAACTGAATGGTTCCGGAAGCTGCAATTTAACAATTTCACTAAAAAGTTCAAGTACAAAAATAAATGTAGAGAACATTTTTGAGGGGAAAGAACAAAATAATATATTATCCATCGCATGCATTACTTAAAGCAACAGAACAGATGTAATAAGGTTTACCTCCAAAAGATATGTGATTTCGAATCCAGTGAGATCATCTAGGAAGAAAAACCTGGCAGGATCAGACCATAGATCGAGTGATTTATAGGGGTAAATTGATAACTACAGACGAAAAAGAAAACCAACTAGCTAGACTTCAGGATAACAAGCATGGAATTCAGATGAAAGCATATGTCGTGAGAGACGAGTGAGACAAAGAAACATACAGTCCTAGTGCAACCACAGTCGCCGGGACGTTTAAGAGGAACATCTTCAAATAGTCAACAGATAGGTCACTGTAAACCTATGTGAATAAAGATGATTAGATGAGTATGAATTGAACCATACCATAGGCTTACTAAAGGAAAATTCCTTGTGCTTTTGAAGTTCAAGAAAGATATGGCAGAAGATAGTCAAAACTTTATTGAAAATGGCTGGAATATATGCAGTGATCACCGATAAACATGCTTAGTTCAGAATTATTCATCGGTTATTCATAAATACACTAACAACAGATAATAGTGTAAGACTATACCTTTCTACTTCGGAGACTGCATCGAGGACCCTCAGCCACGATCTCACTTCCTTCCATCTAGACAATAGTTATGAAGAAAATTAAACAATATTAAAAGAAAATGTCACATTCCTAGTTTAAGAATTGAAATCAGATGCCCTATGTTTCATCATTCAAACCAATATCGAACAGGATATTGTATTCAATAGGAACAACAGTAAACAGAGGTTAGGTCATGAAGCAATGAATACTCCGCCAGTTAATGTTTTCAATATTTGATATCATTTCCGAGATTGAGACGTGAAGATCATTTTATGTCATCTGAAAAAGAGAAAAAGGCGGTACAAACCTTTAGCCTCCGCTTTAACTCATCGAACTCTTCGTCGCTCATAATTGGCTTCCCGGACACATAAGCCATTGAGGCTTCTAGAAATTTCTGCTCATCAGAACCTGCAAAATAGTGGAAAACAAGAAATTTATGGCACCTTCAATTAGACTAATGTCATGATTCATGACCTTATTGGTTGAACAAAGGCTTGATAGGAAATTGGACTGTACTTAGCATGACAACACTACTGCCTTCCCACATTAGTTCTTCCTTGAGATTATCGAATTCCTCGTTTGACATGATAGCTTTTCCCTCGTAATAGAATGCCTGCAGAAAACGAGAGGAAGCAAAATTTTTGTCATCCAAACTCAACAGCCATTTGAATTTAAGTGGTCAGGCAGTTTTCCTAGTTAAGACCGCCGTTGATCCATTCTTTGCCTATGTTACCTGGCCTCAAGTCAGCATAAGCCAAGTATGTATCCAACATAATTATACTCTTATTTTCAAAATTTTTTCTATATATTAGGACGATCATAGTCATTCTTCTATCTTATAGAATTTTTGGGACGAAAACAAGTTATCAATAAAGAAAGAAAGAAAGAAAGAAAATATTTAAATTAGATTAGAATTTGAAATTTTCAGGGGTGTCCGTCAGCCCCTCGATCCAGCCCTGCTGTCAAATGCAAATACTTTTGAGAAATATAATTCTTGGGTAGAATTGAGCAAGCTTACTTGTAGGGCTTGAAGAAACTCTTGCTCCATTTCACCCAAAGACTTCTTCTCTTTCTTGTCTATACTACAGTAGGGAAGAATTTTACCATCAACAACTTCATCTTCTTCGACCTGACCTGCAAATGATGTTAGAATCACCTACGATTCTTCGGCAAGTCCAAATGGAAAACGAGTCCTACTTACATAGATAAATCATGGGTGCTCAAATTTCCCCCCTAAGAACCCACTAGTTATGAAAAGACAAAAAGAAAAAGAAGCTAAATTAAGGAGCCTAATCATTTTAAAGAATATATTTCAAATATTCTTGCAAATTTAGAAGTAAATAAACACAAGGAACATAAAAAAGGGGTTTGTGGCCATGAAACTATGATGGAAACCTGGTTGATCAGCAGTAGCCTTGAAGGGTAGTAAGAACAATCTGCGTCGAACAAATAGCTGCTTTCCATCGGATTGAACCCTGGTAGAGGAAGAAGAAGAGAAACAAATCAAGGGTTTTTGAATAGTGGCAGTGAAGAAACGAGGAGGAAGCGAAGTGAAGGCCAGTTTGGTAGCCATTGCTGATGAATATGGCATAACCAAGTAGTGGATTATTTTGGGTGAGATATTTGTAATTATGAGAATGGCTTTTGTTTTTGTTGGAGGGAAGGAGAGACCAAAGATAAGGCAGGAGAGCAACGTGTGGAGGGAAATGCAACGGTCTTTGCTCTCTTGCCTTGCCTTCAAAGGATAACCCATTTTTTATCTTGCAAAATCTGCCACGTCTCCTTCCATGCTCCTTTCCTAGAATGTCTTGGTCCACGTCACTTCTGTGGTGTTTCATTTAGGTAAATTACATAATAGTCGCTCAAGTATTAGTAAGTTTCTCTTTTCCTCGTCAAAATTTTGAAAGTAACATAATGATCACTACTGGTATCGAAAAGTAACACAAGTGTTATTGTGCCATTAAGCATCGTTATCTCTATCACAGAAAACTAACTTAGCATATTTGGGCTATTGAGCTTTTGACTTCCTAGAATGCATTGCTATGCTTTTTGATGTTTTCAAATATTATACTAATGTATTCAATTTGTTTTGTGATAATTGACATTAATATGTAAATATGCTAATTTGACATATTTGAAGTGTAAAAATGAGCTAAATACTTTGTTCAATAGTGATAGTGAGTTATATGCTAATTTGATAATGTAAATGTTAAATTTTCTGTAATTGGCAGTATATTAAAATGAGCCTCTGGCATGCCATTGCATGTATATATATTGTTCACAAATTTTTAAAAACTTTGATCTTGATGAGGCGGAAAGATGTTGATCATTAGGACTATGTGTCCCAACAAGGTGTTGTGATGAATATTATGTTTGTACCATATTGATACTTGATAAGGAGGTGAGATCTGAATATTCCTAGACTACCAATAAACCAATTGGGCTAAACTCAATGAAATACCAATGAATTCTTTCTGTAATCACCATTTTTGTTTTTACCTTAACATTCTAGCAGCTTCCACTCAACGCCGACAACAACCCATGGTTACCTTTTTTTAAGTTTCAGCAGCTTCCGGTAAGAACAATTGCCCCCTCCACGTTTTAACAAACACCAACAGCTCCCAAACCCCTCCATCCAGTAACTTCCAGCAAGCAACCCAGCTGTCCCTTCACATTCCAGTAATTTTCGGCAGCTCCACCCGTGGACTCCTGAGCACCGTCCACGTCCTAGCATCCACATCAACAAATCAGAAAACAACAACTAATTTAGATTTTTATTTTCATAATTGTAAAGGGTTATAAAAACCCAAATCACAATGTAAGAAAGGGCTCTTCTTCTCTCAGCCACCATTTTTCGAAGAGAACAAATATGTAACAGAGGGATCCTCCTCCTTTTTTTTCCTTTTCGAAGCAATATACCAAATATAACAGTGAGCATTTTTTTTACTTTCTATATACTTATTTTCAGCAATTTTCGAATAAAAAAATATAATAAAAGAGAAGAATACGTTTACCTTAGCTCGAGTCATATCTTCGCCGGAGTTGGTGTCGTAGAGATCTATATGGATTCGGGTTAGTGGTTACGAGGTTTTGCATGTGGATTAGAGGTCTTGTTTTTGAGTTTAGTGTTAAAAGAGAGAAAGTTCGAGGGTCATAGGGGGTTTGTCTAAGTAGTCCGACCACCGGTGATGGTGGTCGGAGAGCGTTTGGTGCCGACGTTGGTGGGCTGTGTTGGGAGCGGCTGCTGCGTGAGGAAGACCCATGAATTTTTAGGTGGGTTTGAAAGTGAAACAGAATGGAAATGGGGGGTTTAATATAAATTTTGGGGAAACTCGCAAGTTAGTCCTCCTTGTTTAGTCTCCTTTTGCGTTCTGATAACTACTTTTGGTCTAACCATCACTTAGGTCCCCGTACTTTAGCCATGAACTTCCATTTTGGTCACTCTTGCACTTTATTTTATTTTAATTTTGGACATGCGGATTTATTTGTTTACATTCCAGTCATATTTGCATTTTGTTATATTTTAATTTTACATGTTTTTTTTGTTGATTATATTTTGGTCATTCATGTTTTTGTTATTTATTTCTAATACAATTTGGTGCTATTTTTATTTATTTCTTTCAATTTAGTCCTTTACTGAATGCTTTAATTTTAACTTTGTATTTTTTATTTATTTTAATTTAGTCTTTTTATATTCAATAATTATTTTTAATTTTTGACTTTTATTTTAATTTCTTTAAAGTTAATCCTTTGATTATTGTACTTTATTTTTTATTCATTTCATTTTAGTCACATGATAATATATACGAAAGACTCATAAGTATAATTTAACCAATTTCATAATTTGATATAATAATTATTTATTTTTAAATATTAAAGAAAGGGGCTGTCTTAAAGCAACTAGAAGTCATTTTCTGATATTTCTAAGTAAATAAATATCTTAATTATAAAAATATAAAAAAATATATATTTATAAAAATTAATATATTTTCTTGGAATTATACTAATAAATTTGAAATAACAGGATTATGAATTAAATATATTTTTGAATTCTTAAATTTCTAATAATAGAGATAATTTATAATTAATGGGTACCAATTTTGGGTGTTATAGGGGTGTTAATCCTTCTCTAAACGTAACCGACCACGAATCCCTTTTTATTACTAAAATTTTTTGTTATACGCAGACTAGTTTATATTTTAAATTATGTTTTCTTAAAAACTCTTTTAAAAGATTGTTTTTAGGTACTTGACCTACCTAATCCAAAAATGTCAATGGCTACTCCCAAAACATTTTTAAAATAAAAATAATTTATTTATTCATTTTACTTTTCCCGCCAAATAAAAATTCGTACCCGAGCGAAATCGGTTACGACAGCTTCGCGACTCCACTGGGACCCTGGTCAAACCTAAGTCGATTATATATTATCTCTATAATTAGAAATTGAGAATCCAATTTTATTTAATTTATGATTCTTTTTAGTTCTTTCAATTTATTTTATACTGTTGTATATTAATATTTAATTTTATTTTTAGTTATTAATTTCTGTGTGAACATTTCTCCTCACACACAACACTTGCATTGCATAACATCAACTTTATTGTAACACCCTCAACCCGTACCCGACCCGGATCCGAGTCCGAGGTGTCACATTGACTTTTCAAACTTTGGCTCTTGACAAAATTCAAAGAAAATTTAAAACTTTAATTAAAGTAAAAGCAGTTTATTTACATAACTTGACCACAATAACTAAAATTAATCAGAGCATATTAACTCAATCCTGTAGTATATGCCAATTATATTCAAAATAACCAAAATTATTTAAATCGTCTATTTTTTGATATGAAATTTGTAAGGGATATGCTGGCCTGTCTTGCTCTCATAGCTTTTCTTCTAGCTTTCTGGAACCTACGTGTGAAACACTCACACGCTAAGTCGATGACTTAGTGAGGCAAATAAAACTTATAATGCACTTAATAACATTTAACAATGCATGCATGTTTCATTCTATCATGCTATACTAAATCACCTTATTTCATCATAGCATACAAAATCATATCAGATTACTTAACAAAATATACTTACATACACATAAAGCATCATTAACAGTTTATCTTTTAATCACATACTTTTATACTTAAACCCCTTAATCAAACAATATACACATATACAACATCATATCATTTCTACAACATTTATCGTATCACAAACATATATTTGTTATTATCTCATGATTAGCCCATGGACATATGTGAGAACTATAGGTATGTGAGTCTATAGAGGTTGTGCACTAATGCTGTCACCATAGCTCGTATAATTGCACCGAAGTGCCGCGTAGAATTTGCACCGTAGTGCCATATAAGATTGTCTATAAGGACCACATATAAATTCCTTAAGAACCATATACATATACCAAGGATCACGTAAGTGTCTCAAAAGACCTCATACATGCTCCAAAGAATACATATACGTCCCGAAGGACCACGTAGAAAATTCCTCAAGAATCATATACATATGCTAAAGACCAAATACGTGTCTCAAAGGACCTCATAGATGTTCCATATGATACCTATATGTTCCGAAGGACCGCGTAGACCCTCGACTCTTGGCATGCCAACTATACCCCAAAGCTCTCAAGACACATAACATGGGCACTATATTTTATATCCTTGCACATATTCATGTAAACATATCACATATTCATATAAGCTCGTAGCTTCATTCACACATACATGTAATCACGTAGTTCATATCAATTCTCATATGATTTCATATTCATATAATCACGTAATTCACTTACACATAGCACATTTTTATGTAATTCATATATATCCCTTAGCTTAATCACGTAGTTCATGTCAATTCTCATATGATTTCATATTCATATAATCACGTAATTCACTTACACATATCACATTTTCATGTAATTCACATATATCCCTTAGCTTAATCACGTAGTTCATGTCAATTGTCATATGATTTCATATTCATATAATCACGTAATTCACTTACACATAGCACATTTTCATGTAATTCACAGATATCCCTTAGTTTAATCACGTAGTTCATGTCAATTCTCATATGATTTCATATTCATATAATCACGTAATTCACTTACACATAGCATATTTTCATGTAATTCACAGATATCCCTTAACTTATATCTCTTGATCATTTAATCACAACTTCTTACCACATATCTCATAGTCATGTTTTCATATATTCATTTCATCACACAGGCTCATAGTTTCTGATCATATCATTCACATTCTCTGACTTATCTCTTATGCTCTGGTAATCACTACACTTATTTCATATAACTTATTCCCGTATAATTCACATATAAACACCGAGATCACTTTCACATAGCTTATATAAGTTTTTTGAATCCTTTCATATTACCTGATAAGATATATCATATAGGTATATAATAACTTATCTCATTTCGTCTACTTTATGCTTTATTTCTTTGTATTACCTTAGATTATATAACTTATGTCGTATTTCTAAACATATACACTTAATAGTATTTTATTTATATACTACTTTAATCCATTTAATTAATTCAATTTCATATATTCCTTATAACCTTTTCATATAACTCCATAGATCATTAGCATATAATTTATCCTATATATATACATATCATCGC